ACCACCGCCTTCCTGAAACAACATCCCAAAGGATCTTTTCTTGCTGTATCGATCCCCGTACTACTATACAGAGTATTATTGAGTTGCTTCACTCTGTTTGCAGGCAGGTGGATTATATTGCAGGCTTTCTCCCCACACTGAGGTGGCAGAGGGTCCTAAGCAAGGAAATGTTTTATTTAATATCTGATCAGTAGAGTAGAGTGAGTAGAATAAAGATAATAGGAATAGGAGCGGCAGTGGCAGTAGAGTAGAGATAATAGGAATGGAAGTGGGAGTAGAATAGAGTTAAGAGGAATAGGAATGGAAGTGAATGGAGTGGAGTAGAATTAGAATTAGAATAGAATTACAATAAGACTTAAACTCTGTTATTCCCGAGTTAGGATAAGAAGTTCATCCTTTAGCACACATATTTTGTCCACATTTGCACGTCTTTGGTTGCTCAAATCTCTGCAATTGATTAAATGGCATTTATTGAATTTGGTTACCTGAGCCTTGGTAGTTTATTGCTATAGTAAATTTAGTCCGTGGAACAATTTGCTTCCAGAAGTTGTAAATGCTCCAACACTGGGAGATTTTAAAGAAGAGATTGGATAATCATTTTTCTGAAATGGTGTAGGGTTTCCTGCCTAAGCAGGGGTTGGACTAGAAGACCTCCAAGGTCCCTTCCAACTCACTGTTATTCTAACAGTGCCAGATTTAAGGAGGTTTTGAGCCAATAAAAACTGGTCATAATCCCCATTCCTTATTCTTTGTATCACATACAACCCCATACCCTATTTTAAGCCCCACAAGGGAGGAGACTTGGGGCAATGTAAGGCATGGAATTCTTTTCTTTTTTGTGTGTCCAATAGTTTCCCTTCAGCTGAAATTATTTGTTATCTTGGCAGAGAATACGTAGCTCAGGTTTATTTGCCCTAATTTAAATAACCAAAACCTCTCAGAAAGATCTTGATGGTATTGAAAATAGAAATGATCTTCCCACTTTCTTACAGTCTCGTCTGAGCCTTGTTCTATATTGGACACCACCTCCAAGTTTCTTCTTCCACCAGGTCCCAAAGGTGTTTGTTCAGGAGGCAACTGGACTTTTTTATTTTTTATTTGAAGACATTTTGCTTCTCATCCAAGAAACTTCTTCTGCTCTGACTGGATGGTGGGGAACGGAAGGATTTATACTCCTTGCAGGCAGCTGGTCATTTGCATCCTTTGAAAGGGTTGTTGAGGCCACTTGGAGGTGTATCTGTCCTCAAATCAGGTGCTATCAGGGTTTTTCTTTGAAGACATTTCGCTTCTCATCCAAGAAGCTTCTTCTGCTCTGACTGGATGGTGGGGAATGGAAGGATTTATACTCCTTGCAGGCAGCTGGTCATTTGCATCCTTTGAGAGGGTCGTTGAGGCCACTTGGAGGTTTAATCTGTGTCCTCAAGGGTCACTCCTCGTTTCTGTAGTTTGCGATTGTTTTCCTGTGGAAATCCATTCCTGTTCCCACACCATTCCAAGGGTGTTCCTCCCAGTATAAACCCTTCCCTTCCCCACCATCCTGTCAGAGCTTGAAGAAGCTTTTGGGATGAGAAGCGAAATGTCTTCAAAAGAAAAAAACAACAACCAGAAAATCCAGTTGCCTCCTGAAATATTGTTCTATATTTCTCTCCTTCCCCAAAGTAGTACCAAATAGGATATTTAAACCAAAGACCAAAGACCCCGATTCCATTATGCTTAATCCCTATGGCCAGTAAACCGTGGCCCGAAAACAAAGCACCTGTGGGTTAAAGTCAGGGGTGGGATGCTGCCGGTAGAACAACCGGTTTGGTGACTGACCGAACGCTAGCGTGCATGTGAACAGGGATGCCAAAATCCTTACTGCTGTGTTCCTTTGGAGTAACACAGCGGAGGAGCGGCAACGCTGAGACGACAAAGGTCAGTATAGTGTCGGACCGAACCAGTTTGCTCCCAGCTGATCTTCAGAGCTAAGGGTTCTCCTGGACCGGACCGGTCCAAACTGGCAGAATCCCACCCCTGGTTAAAGTCCAGATAAAGTTATTTTCTTGCAATGGGTCCTTGTACAGAGGTGGGTATTCAGCCGGTTCTGACCAGTTCTGGAGAACCGGTAGCGGAAATTTTGAGTAGTTGGGAGAACCAACCAATCCCGCCTCTGACTGGCCCCGCCCATATTTTCTTCTCCGCCTCCCATCGAGTCCCAGCTGATCGACTGGGTCTCCTTTGGTTGCCCCTGCAAAGGAGCATGGAGCTGGAAAGCAGGTTAGTGGGGGTGGGGAGGGAAGGGGGGATTTTGCAGTATCCTCCCCCTGCCACGCCCACCAAGCCACGCCCACAGAACCGGTGGTAAAAAAAATTTGAATCCCACCACTGGTCCTGTACCCTAAAAGCAAACATATTATTTTATGGTCTCAGGAGATGGGAGTCACCTGAATGTTGTAGTGTCCACTTTTCTGCTTGCGGGAGCTCCGGCTGGTCCGGTGTTACGAGTCCAGCCTTTTTTCCCAGCAGTCCCAACAGCTGTCTCAGGGGTCAGCAGCACTTGGAAAGGTCCTTCCCATCCAGGATGTAGTTTGGATTTGATCAGGATCAGGAGCCACTCTCCAGGCTGGATGCGATGGACTGCAAACTCTTTTTAACAGTGGCCGTGGAACAAAAAGTCCTTTATTTTTGGCAAGAGGACAGAGAAGAGGACAGCCCCAGTATATAATTCTTCAGAAAGACATCTTTTTAAGTCTCCAAGTGGGGTATTTCTCCCATTCCCATTATTTTTGTTGTCGTTTGGTCATTGTAAATCGACTACAGTTGGTCCTCGACTTACAACAATACACTTAGGGGACCGTTCAAAGTTACAACAGCACTGGAAAAAAAAAAGCGACTTAGGGCCGTTTTTTTTTCACCGTTACGACCTTTGAAGCCTCCCCAGGGTCACCTGATGTCAAAATTCAGATGCTCGGCCACCGGGTTTCACACTTACGACCGTTGCTGTGTCCCAAGGTCGTGGGATTTCCCCCTTTTTATGACCTTCTGACAAGCAAAGTCAGTGGGGAAGCTGGATTCGCTCTAACAACCCAGCTGCCAACTGATTCAGGGCAGGGACTCCCTTAACAACTTTTGGCAAGAAAAGGGGTACAATGGGGCAAACCTGACTTAACGAATGTTTCATTTAACAAGAAAAGATTTGGTCTTGGTGGCAGTCATAAGTCGAGGACTACCTGTATAGCCTCAGTCCCTTTATTGCCAAAAAGTCACTTGTTCCATTTCTGGAGAAGTCCCAGAATAAGATATTACAAAGCTGGGAAGCTACATGAGAACATATTTTTTTGCTTCCACAGCCAGAGGTGGAGGAAACGGGGGGGGGGGGGGGGGGGGGGTTAAAATCATTTGTAATCTGCCGATTGGCTATTCTTTGTCCATGGAGGCTCTATCAAAGATTGTCATTTTTTTTTCTTTTTCCCCTTTTGCCCTAATGAGATGCCTTGTTGTGAGAAAAAACATCTATATCTATCTATCTATCTATCTATCTATCTATCTATCTATCTATCTATCTATCTATCTATCTATCTATCTATCTATCTATCTAATCTATCCATCCATCCATCCATCCATCCATCCATCCATCTAATCTATCTATCCATCCATCTATCTATCCATCCATCTAATCTATCTATCCATCCATCTATCTATCTATCTCTATCTATCTATCTATCTATCTATCTAT